CCTTGTCAGTTGGACTCCCTGTGAGTCACCTCCAAAGCAGCTGTGATGCCTCGTGCTTGTCTGCTAGAACTCTAGCAGTCCCTGTTCTCCCCGGGACACCTGGGCCTCGGGAGTTTTGGGGTTTCTTCCAGAATACCTTATTAAGAAAGTGTTTACAGAGATAAAATGCCCAGATCCTAGAGTGTTGGATGAGGTGAACAGCTGTGGGACCAGCATCCAGGTCAAGTTCCAGAGCATTTCCAGATCCCAGATGTCTTCCTGCCCTCCCAGGGTCCTTGTTCCACTCTGAGGTCCTCTGACATTTCCTGTGTCCCAGCTCCTTTGTATTGCTGGGGCCGCTGCATTGTGTGACACCAAAATGTGTTCCTTTCTCCTCTGTTCTTGCGCATCTGTGTTCTTTCCAATTTGGAGCCATGGTGAGTAACGCTGCTGTGGACATGGGGTATGTTCTCACTGCTGTTGAGTTGTTTTCTGAAGTTGTATTGTTTCACAGTTTGATCTGCACGGAATGAGAATTCCACGTGTTCCATATCCCACTAAACAATGACGCTGTCCCCATAGTTTCTGGTGCTGCAGAGGATTGCAAATAATTTGTCTTCCTTTCCCTCCTTTCTGGTTCAGTAGTGGTGTCTCCCCCTCAAGTCGGTTCAATTCAAGTTGGTTCAATTAAGTCGATTAGAATATAACCCACGAGAGTGAAGGATGGGCTGAGGGGATGCCACAGCCTCTCCAAGAAGCCAGTCTTTGCAAGCTCTGGTGCATCTAGACAAGGTTCAGAAAGAAGAGAGGTGCAGACATATGCATGACCCTGGGGCACCTTCTACCCACTTGGCGCCTAGGTGACCCTTATCTGCTCATTCAGGCTTGACCGGTAGCACACTGGTTTCCTGTCTAGCACATTTCAGGGACCTGCTGGACTTCAGGTAAGTTTTAAGTCTCGGCTCTTCACCTCTCTTCCCCAATGCTACTAGTCCCTGTTCAACCATTTTTTCCCTCAATGCTGAAGCCATTCAAAGGTAGTTTATTTAATGTATCATCCTGACCTCCATGTCACTTGGAATGTTCCACTGTGTCCAAGACTTCTCATCTCTCTATTCTAAAGCCCAGAAAGAGACAGGACACAAGAGTCTCTCTTTCTCTACCGTTATGGTCCATGCCACTGATTCTTCTTCGCCATGTCTGCTCACGAGACTTTGAGGATCAAGAGGTTCCTGGTGAAGAAACAACAGCTGAATTGGCCCATTCCCCAGCGGGCTTGGATGAAAACTCATATAAACCCAGGTACAGGTCCCAGAAGAGACACTGGGGAGGAACCAAACTGGGTGTGTGAGGACTGGCACATCAGACATGGCTCTGTATTTATGTTCCGTCAGGCTTGTCTGCCTCTTGAAATCACTAAAAGGTCACTACTATGCAGATAGCTGGGTTTTTAAATTGGGAAATTATTGGAAAAATGACTTTTCTCTGTGATTTTTTGGCAATAGTGAGTAGGTTCATTAATAAATGTGAGGCCATTTAAAACCAGGGAGAGAGGAGAGGAGAGGGAGGAGAGAAGAGAGGTGAGCTCCCCACGCAGGAACTAGAAGCCCCCAGGGCAGCACTACACCAGGGAAGTCATAGCCTCCGTGTGAGGGTTTCTATTGGTAAACACTTGTTTACCTGATGATGTGTTTATGTGAGGAGTAGAATTTGAAGGTTCTGGGGTGGGAGTACTTACTCTCCTGTTCCTGATTTCTTCACACACCCCTGCTTCCCCAGAACCCTTCCCTTCTCTTTCTCTAGACCCATTTCCTCTTGTTCCTGGCTCCTCCCCACTGAATTATTGCCAAATTGATTTGATTTCTATATCTCTGATGACTCTCCCTAGTGCAGAGCACTGCCTGGCTGGTGTGAGGAGTAGCCGTGAACACAGAGGGGGTGGAGAGATGAGCTTCAGCAGCGTCCAGCCTCTCTCCCTGACCTCAGTGAGTTTCCAGGCTGTGGGCATGGGCCGTGCTGCCAGGCCAAGCTTCTGCCTCTCCAGGGTTGCACCCGTGGTTTCTGAGGACACCGCACTTGGGTGGCAGGGGAGGAGGGGGCTTCCCAAGGAGAACACAGAAGGGCCGAAGGGCCAGGTGGGGGAGTGCTGATCCGAGCATTGGACAAATGCTGACTGAGCTCCCAGTGGGTGCCTGTCCTGTCCTCCTGCTGAGGGGAAGGAGGGCAGAGGTCATCACCAGGAGACTGATGGTTTGTGGGAATGAAAGGGGAAGTACACAGGGCATCTGGGAGGATGAGAGCCCAGCATGGCCCCCTTCCTCTGGAGGCAGCCTCCCTGGGGTCAGCCATCTACTGGCTGGGAAATAGGTGATCACAACCAAGCTACTTTTCCCTCTCTGGGCCTCAGTTTCCACATCTGTGAAATAGGGAGAATCCTTGCACCATGTCCAGAATCAGTCTGCGGGGTCAGTGAGGTGCACTCTAGGGTGCTAGAACAGAGCCCCTCACACTGTGGGTGATCTCACGGGTTTAGTCTGAGGAGGGGTGTGGGGGCGGCAGGGAAGACCCCTGAGGGGTCTGCTCCCTGCAGGGTGAGTGCACAAGCAGGGGCAGCTCAGGGGGGGCTGCAGGGGGCCCTCTGGGGAGTGAGGGAGCAGTGGGGACGTCCCTGCAGTGTGGGACGCACAGGGCTGGTTTGCACCTTTGTGGCAGGTGTGTGGGCCCTGTGTGCAGGTGGCTTTGTTCAGACCCTCTGAGCTTTATGACCCCCATGGCATTCATGGGGAAACTGAGGCTCAGGGACATTGAGGCCACTTGCCAACTGTGCCCGGATGGTAAGTGGCAGAGAAGGGAGGTGCCTGTATTTACCTCCAGAGAGGGAGGTGCCCACAGGGAGCAGCAGTAATGGGGGGAGGCAGGCAAGTGGCAGCCCCAGGCCCAGGAGGCCTGTGAGGTCACCCTGTGCTGGTCCCCACCCCACAGTGTCCAAACAAGCCTCTCCCAGCCTTGTTTCTGACAGGCAGGGGAGCTGGACTGACAGAGCCCTTCTGGGTGGGGGCATTGGATAGGTGGGTGGGCAGCAGCAGAGTGCTGGGGGCTGAAGCTGTTGCGGGGATTGCTGCCTGGGCTTTACACTGCAGCCACCTCAGCAGGGCCCCTGGCATGGCCTGCTTCCCCTCCCCCTCCCCCCCCACCGCCCTGCCCGCAGTCACTGGCCCCTGGGCTCTCCTTGGTGGTGGAACTGGAGAAAGCTGAGCCAGGCCTGCTTAGTGCTCTGGGGGGCTGCAGGGTCAGCATGTGTGACCTCAGGCTCCTTTCCTGTCTGATGGGGGATCCCAGGGCTCCTCCCAGGCCCTGAGGTATTCTTATCCTAGTGACTGGTTTTTACTTTTCAATCTCCTGACTCACAGTTTTTCAAATCTGAAGGAAAATCCTACATGAGCAGTTAAAACAGAGCCTTGCAGTCCAGACAGAAATGAGGATGGGTGTCACCCCCACAGCCCCAGGAGCATCCGTCCACCCCACATGGTCTCCCCTTCTGGTGTCCCCCTCCCTCCCAGCAGTCAGGACTGACCTTCTTCTTCCAAAGTGTGCTGTGCGGTCACGGGGCCTGGCCATTCTGCTGAAGAGCTGACCACCATGAGGGCCTCTCCCCCCCATACCTGCCCCCCCACCAGCCCCATGTGGCCCAGCCTCCTGAGGGGCTAGGATGGAAGCTGGGGCACAAGCAGCACAGGACTGGCCGTCTTGGCCGGGGAAGCACTGAGTGAGCCTGGAGGGAGGACGTTCTGTGTCTCATCCTGAGAAGCAGCTGTGTGGTGGTCAAATTAGAAGCATGGCTGCCAGCACTCAAACCCCAGTCCATTTCTGACCAGATGTGTGGCTTTGAGCTGTTCCCAAACCTTTCTGTGCCTCAGAGTCCTCATCTGTGGAGGTGGCGCTAACAATGGCCAGGGTTGTTGAGAGCATAACCAGGGAACAGATGGGGAAATTGGCCACGAGAAGTGCTCCAACCCTTGGGCAGCAGCACCCTTTTGCTGAAAGCCGCTCACTGCCTGGGGACTGAGTCCCTTCTGCCTGCTGTGGCCGGGTGCCTGCTGAGGACACTGGGCCCCTGGAAGCAGGCTGCCTACCCCTGGCCTGTAGGGCCTGGCCCTGTCTCCTGACTTCCAGGCAGGGCCCTCGGGACCAGCAGGAAAACTGGTCTTTCTGTGACTGAGAGGCGGGGTGCAGTGTCCCCAGCATCTGGGGCTGAGGCCCTGCATGCTCACATCCCTGGGATGTGACTGCTGGTCACAGACTGAAGTTGCTGCTTCTCTTCCTCCCGCTGCTACAAGTCAGACAGGGCCCTGGAGGTATCTGAGCTGCCTGTGGAGGGCCCAGGCCAGGTGGCCATGGTGGGGTCTGGGACTATAGCAGGAAGTTCCACCCAGGCCGCCATGAGAGGGGGTGAAGGGAGGGCCCAGGGGCTGATGCTTCATGTCGGAGCACCCCCTCAGAGTGTGTGGGGCCTGGGTGTGGGCGCACCCCCACACCAAGTGTCCTGGGCTCTTTTCAACAGAACCCTGTGATCCCCCCTGTGATGTAGCCCAGCCCCACCTACGTGAGTGATTTCTCAGGGAGGGTGGAGGGTTGGTGTGTGCTGGGCAGCGGGGGAGGGGAAGGGCGGCTCCCAGAATGAGGAGCAGTCCTTGGGGAAGCTGGAGTCCAGCACCCAAGTGAATGAGAAGCCGCTGAAAGGAGCTTTCACCTTCAACAGTGTCCCTTCATCAGGAGCACATTACGTGACTGTCCCTCCTCAGCCCCAGTGTCCCCTGTGTCTGGCCAAAGTCCTTCTCATGACAGTTTCAGCCCATGAATTAGTCTGAGGAACTGTGGAAAGTTTCCCTTTGAATTTACAACCAAGTAAAGGCATCACGATTCTTTCTTGAAGAGATATGACTCCCAGGCAGAGTTGTCAGTGGACAGTCCAATTCATGGAAGTTGGCAGGAGGTTCCCTCTCCAGTGGTCGCTGCTCTGGTTGCCTCTGGCTGACCTTCTCCTCTTCCCCCAACAACTGATACCTTACTTCACTGCCATCCCCGGTGGGATGTGCCCCTGCAAGAGCATCACCGTGTCAGGCACCGTCCTGCCCAGCGCTGAGAGGTAAGCCTGGTCTCCTGGGGAAGAGAGCTACCCCGAGCTCATTCTTGCCTTCCCCCTGGCTCTGGGCAGGCTGGGGAGGGGCAGGGCCCAGAGCTCAGTGGGCAGAGGAGACTCATGTGAGCTGCCGGCCCCCAGGTTCCACATCAACCTGCGCTCTGGGAGTGACATCGCCTTCCACCTGAACCCCCGTTTTGACCAGAACACCGTGATTGGAAACACGCAGATCAACGGCTCCTGGGGACCTGAGCAGTACTCCATATCCAAGACAATGCCCTTCTCCAGAGGCCAGAGCTTCTTGGTAGGTGCCCCAGCCTGGAGCTCTGAGGGGCTCCGAGGGGCAAGTGAGGCGGGAGGTGGAGGTGTCTGTGGGCCCAGGGAAGCGGGTGGTAGCTGAGGCCTCTGGGGTGAAGGCTGGCCCCGGTGAAGACAATGTGGTCACCAGATATTTGTTGTGGTCTTAGAATTACTGTCCCCCATAAAGAGGTGGTGTTATCTGCTGTTTACAGGTAGGAAACAACTCAGGTGCAGGGTTCTCGCCTGAGGTCACACAGTCAATAAGAGCAGGATCAAACCTGAGAATGAGGTGTCATTCATTTCTTTATTCACTCACACACTCACTCATTCATGGCTCATCAGCTCTGTTGTCAAGGCCACTTAGTGCAGCGAGTGCTCCAGGTGTTGCGGGAGGGGGAGACAGCCTTGAAGCCAGCAGTCCAGGTCTTGCCCCCGAAGTTTACAGTGGAGGTGGGGGAGAATCACGGCAGGTCACCACAGGTGCTTCACTGACAGCAAAAGAGCCTGCTGCGGTAGAGTGAGGCCTGGGGAGGGGCCACACCCCCTGAGATGGAGACAGCTCTCAGAGGCCACAGTGCAGTGGAGACCTCAGGGACAGAAGGAGACGCCCACAAGGATCTGAGGGGTGCATTCCTGGAGATGTGGGAGAGGGCACCTGTTGCTGCAAAAGTGAGGTCACAGGCATGGACTGTGCAGGAATGGGGAGTCGGGGGGGCTGGAGGCCGGGATCGCACAGCAGGGGTTCCCAACCCCAAGGACAGAATCAAATCACCCAGAGAGCCTGACAAGGAAAAACCCAGGCCTGGCCCAGCCCCGGGCCAAGCAGGGAGGAGCCTGGGCATCTGTGTTTTACATAGACCCTGACACTCCTCCCCCAGGTGGAACATGACCCATGTGGGGCCTTGAGGGCCACAGAAAAGTATGTGGATTTGACAGAGTGAGTTGGTGTGTTTGGAGCCTGAGAGCAATCTACTTGGACTCAGAGACACTGTGTGACTGTGAGCAAGTGACTTGGCTGCTCTGAGCATCTATTTTCCATTGGAAAGATGGGGCTAATACCAACACTGACCTCAGAGACGTGAGAATGCACTGACCCCGGGTTGTGACAGGGTCAGCACAGAGCCTGGCCCACAGGATGCGTGCTGAACAAGCTAGGCATTGTGGGGGGTGATGGGGTTTTCCCAGATGTGCTCCGACCACCTGTGGAGACTGTTTGGGGTGAAAAGACAAGTTAGGAGGGGCCTCTGCAGGGGTGCCGGTCTGGGGCACTCCTGGGTGCAGGTACCAGGAACATGGGAGGCACAAGGCAGAGCTCCTGCCCCTGGAGGCTCAGGGTGCAGTGGGAGAGTGAGGATGGGGGTGGGGACAGGACCTGAGGGGCCTCCTGACTTGAGTAACAGCGGTCAGGTGGGGGCAGAAGGCAGGGAGCCCAGCTGCAGAGGGGTGAACCCTGAAGGGGCATCAGCAGGTCCCCATGTGGGCAGGTGTGTGGTTCAGCATCTGGAGGAAGGGCATTCTATGCCAGGGAACAGAGTATGTACAAGGACGGGAAGGAGAGCATGTTTGTGAAGAGTGAATCCGTATGATTGGATATGGGCATGGGGTGTGCTCAATGCATGTTAGAGGAAGGCAGGAAGAGGGGAGGAGAAGCAGCCTGCGTTTAGGTTTGCCGACTCTCCAGGTGCACCACAAATGACACGGCCATCTGTCTGTCCAGGTGAGGATCACTTGTGAGGATACTGCCTTCAAGGTGGCAGTGAACGGTCAGCACCTGTTTGACTACAACCACCGCGTGAAGGACTTGCCTGCTATCAATGTCCTAGAAGTGGCAGGTGATGTCCAGGTGACCCACGTGCACACATAGACTGGACTCTTGGTCCTGGGATCTAGGGCTAGAGCATGTCACTGTCCGGATCTGCTCATCACCTCCACCTTCCCTGTCCCTGCCCCTGCCCTTCCCAGCCCTCCAAGGATCTGGAGACACGAGGTCCCTGTGTGGCCCTGCTTCTGGCTGCAGCACCCCTGGGGTGGAGGAGGCAGCTGGCTGGGACTGCCTTCTTCAGCCTGGGCACCACCTGGGGCTCCAACTGCTCAATCCCGACATCTGAGGAAGGGGGTGGTGTGTGCAGCCTAAAGTCCCATGTTCTGTCCCTTGGGCACAAAAGGAGGGTCGTGGGCCTTCCCAAATTCCCAGCCTACCCCTTGTCTACCTTGGTTCCCATTTCCCAGCCTCCATTCAAGTCCACCTCAGGCTCAAGCCACCAGCTGGTCACTCACAAGGGAGGTGGTCTCCTCAGGTTCCTCTTTCTTCAACCTTTACCCTTTCCTTGTACCATCACCGACCCTTGCCCCTGTCCAAAAAAGTGACCCTGATTGACACCTGCTGGTCTCCACCAACAGACAGGACCTTCTTCAGCTGGAAGCCCCCCTTCTCCATTGTCCTTCATATAAAGTGAGAAAGAAATATCCCTGGTGGCCCACGTGCACGGGATGACTGTGGTTTATCAATTGTGTTTGGAGAAACTTGGGTTTCTGGAATTGGGAAGGTCCTGGCCAAGGAGGGAGCCCAGGCATACTTGGAATGGGGGCATCCTGACCCATTTCTGCTCTCAGTGGGTCCCCACAAACCCCACAAGAGTGTGGGAGAAAGCAGCCAGGCTCAGGCTCTTTGGAAGGAATGTCTGACAGGAAGCTTGGTAACAGAGTTGCAGCCAGGAAGCTGCCCCGCGCTTCTGAGATGGGCCAAGGGCTGGGCCAGAGCCTGTGAGGGTCAGGGTAGGGCCAGGAAGCCAGAGGGCAGGGCAGGTCATCAGTGGGAGGAGGTGGAAGGTGGGGTCGGACCCAGAGGAGAACTTGTTGGTGGTTCCACTGTGGGTCCCATAGTGTTAGGGGGGAGGCGGTGCTGGGGAAAGTGGCTCAGTGTGTAGGGTCTTCCAGCCCCTGGGCCAGTGCAGGGGGACCCAGGTCTTGTGCACATGATGCCAACCCACCCTGCTACTCCATCAAGAACCCAGGGCCTCAGGAACCAGGGCAGAGGCTCAAAGCAAAGTCCTGGAGCCAGGAGGACCTATCGGCCCTGGGAGCTGGTTTAAAATGAGGAGTCTTAGGTCCCACCACACACCTCAATCAGAGTCTGCATTGGAGAGACATCCCAGGCAGTTAGCGAGCAGGTTAGGCTGGGAGAGGCACTAGGCTAGGTGACCATGTCCTTGGCCACCATTGTGCCAAGCACCACCAGGACACTGCAGTTTGGTGTGTCCCCTCTTCCCCCACCACCCTATCTGAGTAGGGGGCCAGGTAGTCAAGGAAACACAGGCCAAACCCCAGCTGGGGGCCACATTTCATCGGGCCCTCACTAGCCCCTGGCTGAGTGCCTTCCTCGTTCCCACGGGGACAAGGACACACGGCTCAGTCCCTTGAGAAGCCTTCCCCATGGAGGACGTGTGTCCTTCACACACTGCCAAGGCCTTGACCGTAGCCCAACCTCACCTGCTTTGTCATCCAGGGGCCCAATCATATTGCCCAAAGTCTCATGAAGCAGCAGGTCCCGAAGCAAAATGCATGGTTTTGTCAGAGGCTGGTGTCAGTGTCTCTGCTAAAGAGCTGGCATCCTGTGCAGCATCACCCCCCTGCTGCCCCCTGTGAGGGAGGTGCCTCCTGTGTGAGGCTGTGCTGAGGCCGGTGCTCCCTTGCCCATCACGGTTTCCAGACGTGCACCCCATGTACAGCCCTTGAATGTGTTTCAAGAAGCTGCAGGGACAAGCTAGGACACCACCAGTGTCCAACTCTACATAACTCAGGGCTGTTTCCTTGTGACACACACAAGCACACATACAACGTGGTTAAAATAAAATGCATTTCATATAAATATCTCCATCAAGGAGTCTTACAGGGAGGGCTTAAATGGCCCTCAGGGGCTCACTAGTGTTTTTGTTTTTAAATACAAAGGCATAAATAACTGTACAGGAGAAGAGTAGGGCTAAATACAGACAGATGAGGCAGCGCCACCTGGTGGTCGCTCACAGTGGTGCAATCAGAAGAAGGCTCCCTCCTTCTCACCCACTGGCCAGGCCTGGCATTGCAGGTTTACTTTAAGGGACCAGGGACATCCCAATATTCCATTATCTGGGAAGGGTGGGCTCAAAGGAGACAAGAGGTTCCCTCAGTCCAGGCTGCTACTTGGTAGCCAGTCAAGCAAAGGGGGAAGGAGATGGAGAAATAAGATGTGAGGCTTGGAGATACAATTTCCCACCATCTCCCTGTGGCCTCAGAGAATGGAGAATTGGGTCCGTCATGAAATTCGGGCAGCAGCTTTAACTTCCACAGGCTGTTGGGGCTCTGGGATCACGAGGCTTCTCTGCTGCCCCATCCTCTTTCACCTTGGAGGGAAATACAGCCCCGAAGATATCTTCATGGTAGCGCTTCTGGGTCTTCAGGGGAAAACAGAAAGCAGGTGTCAGCTCTGCTGGTGCAGCACCTCTCACTCATCGGGTCCAGGCTGGAACCAGCGCCCTGTGTTCTCCCAGCTTCCCCACCACACCTACACTGCTGAGCTATCTGCCTTCCCCTCGGCCATGCTTAGACTGCACTTGACTCTGACTGAGACTCTGTAAACCCCACCGCCACCTGCTCTTCCTTGGACCACCTAAACGTCTCTCCTGGCTTCGGGATGCACAGAATAGTCTGCTTAGTGCTTTATCCCACAGGATGCTCCTGAAACGTGGGCTCTGAGCTAAATACATTTTTTGTGTGACACAGTCTCTCTGAGTCTTGAAGCATCACGATGCCCAGGAGCATGTTAGAGGCTCTGAAAGTCTTATCGTAAAGCAGCATGTTTGACTTTGTTTAACTGAACAACCAGACCGGGATGTACATCAAGCCTCTAACAGTGCATCCGGCTCTGACCTCCAGCCACCTCTAGCATTCTATTGACATCCAGGACTGTCCTGATCCTGATTCCCCTAGTTCTGACACTCCTAGACCTGGCTCCCTGTCTCATGCCCTTGACCTGTATCCCTAGCCCACACACCAGCTGCCATACCTTAAGCTGGAAGAAATAGTCCTCCACCTGTTCCTCGCTCAGGCTCAGTTTGGCTGCCACCAGCTGCTTAACTGTGTGGGCCACATCCCGGGCCATGCGCACATCCCCACAGACATAGAGGTGGCCCTGCTCCTTGTGAAGCACACGGAGGACCTGATCAGCCAGCTGCTGCTGAAGGATGTCCTGAACGTAGACCTGAAACCAGAGGAGGTGGTGAGTCCAGGCCCTTGCTGCTGGGGGCTGAGGGGACAAAGCTGGTAGTCAGACCTGGTGGCCACAGGGAGGCGGTGAGGGGGCTCGATGTGCTGCAGGGTGAACATCCTCCCTGGCAGGACTCTGCACAGGGACCTGGCTGAGCATGAGGGCATGCACTGGCACCTGCCCAGCCCAGGCCTAGGCTGGAGAGAGGAATGCCTGTCACAGCCCCACCCTGCCCTTGAGGAGCTGATGGTCCAGTGTGGCTCCCAGATGTATTCTGGATTCACGTGCTTCAAAGAGGCATCTATGAAGCCACTTGCGCTGTCCAGGGCTCTGAGGCCTACCTGCCTACACCCCAGAAAAGAGATTACCTCAGTGCGGACTGTCTGTGGGACCTCCACTGCAATGCAGAGCAAGGCATATAGCTCTGGGCTCCCCATTGCCACAGAAGTCCAGGAGTCCACTGGGGCTCCCAGTGACCCCAGCCCTGGGCATGGAGCACTGGCTCTGGGAGGAGCCCTGATAGGACAAGTTTATAAGGGAGGAGCCAAGAGTCTGTCCTGACTCTCCAGGTCATGCATGGGGCAGCAGAGCCCATTAGTGGGCTCGTGGTGGGAGCAGCAGGTGCCCTCCAGCCTTGCTGTGGTGCAGCGTACAGCCAGCCTGGACAACCTTTCCCTGGGCAGTTGTGAATCCTGGCGGGGAGGGCCTTCAGCAGGCTGGGACCAGGGGATTAACCCACCACGTGGCCCTGACGTGGCCCTGACTTGGTCCTGAACGCCTCAGAGTCTATCTCTTAGAAGAGTGAACTGAATAGTTTCATAGCTTCACAGCACTGCTCTGATAGTATAACAGCCTACATTTTAGAGCAGAGGAGATGAAAGTTCAGAGGCATGAGTGGGGTGTGGGTGCCAGGACATGCATCGTAGTATAGTCTGTACTTTTAATGCTCCCCCTCTCGTGGGGGTGCCGCATTACCTTGGGTTGGCCAGGCAGGCGAGAGTAGGCTGTGTGAACCTCATGCAGCACCCTCTTCTGGACCATCTCCAACATCTCCTCCCGATAGAGGTGGTCCTCCTCTGGGCGCCGGCACCCAAACACCAGGGTCATGCGGCCACTCTGGAGCCCTGGAAGACCCAGCAGGTTGCAGTTACAAGGGTGGCCGCCAGAGGGCAGGCGTCAAAGCCGGACAAACTGGGCACCCGGCTTGATGCTCATTTCATCTCCACAAGAATCCTATCTACTACTTTCCTTACTGTATAGCTGAGGATGCTGAGGGCCAGGGCATTCAGATCCCTTGCCCACGCAGGCTGAGGCAGACCTGGGATAGGGGCCAGGAAACGCGTGTGGGCAGTGGCACAACTCCTGCAGCCCAGTTCTACGCCCAGCCAGGTGCTGGCCACTCGGTGCCCCACCCCTCACCCTTAGGGACCCCACCCCCGCCAGCAGTACCTTTGTGTTCGATGTCATAAAGCCGCTGCTGCCAGAAACTGCGGAAGGGGGCAATGCCCGTGCCAGGCCCAATGAGGATGCAAGGCTGGGAGGGGTCCTCGGGGAGCTGGAAGCCGCTGGCACTGAAGGGGACAGAGAGAGAGGCCCCAGTCCTCAGATGCCATGGGCTGTGTGCAGGCTCAGGACAGGGGCTGAGGAGCTGGGGGTGTGGTAAGGGGCAGTAGTGTAGGGGGGCACGGAGAAGACAGTGAGCTCGAATTTGATTCCCAAGTCCTGCAGGCTGCTTTGTCTCCCCTGAACACACACACCAGC